GACTTAACTTAAAACATCTTTAGAGTAATTTGTGTAATTCTCAGCTTCAATCAGCTTATTTAGTTTTCCTGGTGGGTCAGTAACAAACTAACACTTAGTTAAACTATGATTTTTGATATACACTAACTACAGAATTTGCCTTACACAAATAATTGAACAAATCACACCATTACCCATATGGTGCAATATTAAAATTTTAGCAGTTTTCTATTATTGTTAACTACTATAAATTAAACTATATAAATTTGTAAACATTACAGCAGTTTTGAGTACACATTTAAATGCCATGATGTTAATTTGGAATATTTAGAATATATATTACAAAAGGAATACTGGAGTAGAGTGACCTGAACCTCACTACTAGAATAGTGTGACCTGAACCTCACCATTGCCCTGTTCAATTAAACATTTATATAGTTGCCTAATCAAGTTCTTTGCCAGAAAGCATAATTTTCTGTCTAGACAGAAAGCACAGAACAACTAATTTAATCATTTTCATTTACTACAAAAAATACATCTACTAAATGTCCCAGTTGAAAAGATAATGAATGATTTGGTAGCATTTCATGAAGACATGCCTCATGTAGAAATGTAGCATGCATCTTAGCCATAATAACTTTTTTTTACTTAAAGGGTAACAGTCATAAATAGAAAGAGTTTCTTAACATCTATCTTTCTTAATCATTTTTAAACATGTGGCCAAAGGAGAGACTGGAGTTTTTGAAGATATCTAATAGTCTTCGGTGTAAAAGTTAGGTGTCTGCTATTGATAGATCTTAATTACAATAAATGGAAAATAAAAGAAATCCTTTTGCATTTCTTTCTGAAGTCCTTCATAAACAGATGACAGTTTTTATGGACAGTGCTCTTTACTTTCTTGTTCATTATATCCCATCTCTTACAGACTGCTAAAAGTAATTAATCTATACTCATCAACTGATCCCAATTGATCTTTTGAAAATGAAAAAAAGAAATACTTTTTGATCTGAAGGTAATAGAACAAAATTGGTAATGTTCTAAGATGCAAACATATGAAAAAAGAAAAACTGATGTGACATTGCACAATGGCTGAGTGTCTGCATCTCCCACAGTTTAATGCCTCACCTTATCAGTTTAAGGGGCAATGTCTTATACAAATAGTATTAGATGCAATATTTTTTCCTGTTGAACAAGGGAATTATAAAATTATGGAATCCAAAAACAGTGGTTTTTTGAAAAACAGTATTTTTGAAAAACCAATGAATTAATTGTCGTAATATGATTCAAGATTCAAGATTTGTTTGTCACATTTGCCCAACCCCAGCCACTTGGGCTGCGAGTAACAGTGCTCTCTAACTGCCAGTCCCAAGCCCGGATAAAATTGGGGACGGTTGCGTCAAACTCTTTGATTTCAGGCAGCAGCTCTCTGAATCTTGCCAAAAATGTACCTCTGCTGAGCCATCTTATGTCAGAGTGCAACAAAAGGTCTGCTTCCTCCAAACAAACAAAATAGACTATGCTATAAGCTTTGTGCCTGAATTGAATAAAAATGCATAGCTATGCCATCTGTTGATTCATCAAACTAATGAGAGAAACACTGACATGCCACTGTGTCCTTTTCAATTGATCTCCCAGATCTTACACCAGTGCTTCAAATCACCTTGTTATAGTACTTCTTAACAACTGAATATTCGTGATGTCTTCTCTATCACTGAATGATTTTTTACATTTCCCCAGGACATGGCTGACACAGAACAATGCAATAATTTCTGCTTTTCCTTTTGCAGGACTCATGAAAACTGACTGCTGTGCTGCCACTGTCGATTTTAACTTTTCCACCATTCTTTTTTGCAACTCACATAGTTTTTTCCCTGGGTCCCTGGAGGACTAGTGGTTAGGCCACAGTGCTCTGCCCACTATGGCCTGGGTTCAATTCCCAGCCAGGGAACCAACCCCAGCCACTGGGGTTGCATACAACAGTGCGCTCTCAGTGCCAGTCCCAAGGCTGGATAAAATTGGGGAGGGTTGCGTCAGGAAGTGCATCCGGCGTAAAAACTGTGCCAAATCAAATACACGGACCGATGATTTATGGTGGTGACCCCTAATGGGAGCAGCTGAAAGAGGAACAACATAGATTTTTTGTGTGTAGTTTTAAAATGCTGTTCAACATTTCCTTTTTTGCAACGATTCTATCATTGCAGATGAGGCAGTTACACTCAGAATGTGAAAATACAAAAAAATTATTGTGCTACCATTTCTTTGTGGTAATAGTATATTTTTGCTCTATTTGCTACACTCATTTTCATTGAAACACAAGAACAACACTACCACTTGTTTAAATGGCTAATTTACCTACATTTTTATATACATTCCCCACCATAGTTCCAAAGTATTGGAACTGCGAAGCCAATTCTTTTGATTTTGCGATACATTGAAGACATTTGGCTTTGAGATGAATATGAGATGATAGTTCAGAATTTCATGTTTCCTCCTGTGCACTAATTAGCTGGTGCTCGTCGCTGTTCTCACTTGTACATTTACAGTACACTCATTTAATTTGTTTAATTTTTCCTCATATTGGTACATTAGACTTACTATAAATTCAAATTTATTAGTTTTTCTAATGATTTTTTTTCTTGATTTATGCCTCAATCTGTAATCCTCTTTTGGGAGTACTATGATCTTTGACCTCATATCTTCTTTTTTTTTTTTTTACTCTGACATGCATTGAATGCTGTGGGGCTTTCCAAATCATGTCCATTCAAATTTTGTACAAAAATTGTACAAATGCAAGAATAATCTCTACCCCATTATCTCAAGGATAATCAATGGAAATGGGATGCACTTAAACTCCATTTCAAGTGTCATAGCAAAGAATGGCAAAGCAAAGTATATCAAAGGTCTGAATAACTGAAAAAATGTTATCTTTCTTTTTTTTTTTTTAGATTTTCTTTTTAATACATTTACAGAATGTTGGGAAAACTGTTTATGCTTATTTTATTTCTGATTTTGCTCAGTTTTAGATTGATCATCAGGGGGTTGACATACTGGAAGGCAATGCCTTTCTGCAATGCCTTAACAGTCTCCTTCAACAGTTCACGAGGATGTGGTTCAGTATCAAACTGTAGATTGTGCATTACATGAGACTATATTTTAATTACAATCTTTTCAAGGGTCTTAAAACTATAGTCTGAGGTTCAAGGCAAAACCAATTAGTAATAGAATATTTAGGTATTAAAAAAAACAAAAAAAAACAAACAACTGTAGTGGCAAAACAGATTTTTTTTTTCCCTGTAACATACAAATGTTATACAATGAAACAAACATATTAACACATACATACAGATGTACAGATCGAAATGGATGGCTTTTCAAAATTACTTGTGGTCTACGTTTACAGCACTAAAGTAATGGTGCTAAAAAATTTTATTCTTACACATGCATATGCTCAGGGGCCATGCTTCTGGTCAGAGACTTGATATGAGAATTAACAAAACTAACAACATGCATGTTGGGCTCCCTCTCCAAAGCACCAACAAGAGTGGCCACAAGGACTACTGATGGCTTGGTCTCAAAGAGCACAATACAAGCAAAGATGGAGTGCCTTGTCCATGAAAAGTTGCAATGCCACTGGCTGAACCTAAAACAAAGAAATAAGATGATTAGGCTACTTGAACAGTCATCCACAATAGCTACTGTGTTTACACATCATCCCATACTAACCAACTTTGGTTCCTTCTTGGCAATGTTCCTAAGAGCCAAGGTGGCATCAATCTGGCCACATTGCGCAGTTCAGGATGGAGTGCCTTGTCCATGAAAAGTTGCAGTGCCACTGGTTGAACCTAAAACAAATAAATAGGATGATTAAACTCCTGGATCAGGATCATTCACAACAGATATTGTGTTCAGACATCATCCCATACTAACCAACTTTGGTTCCTTCTTGGCAATGTTCTTAAGAGCCAAGGTGGCATCAATCTGGACCCTCATGGGAATGGCAGCAGCAGCACTTCCAAATCCAGGCAGGAGTTTCATGATGGCTTTAAGGCTGGCAGGGTGGCCAGCATTGCCCAGAACCTTAAGAACCAGTGTGATTTCAGGAATCTCAGCCTTGGAAAAGCTGCAGCAGCAATATCATGGATAGGCTTATAACGAAAGTTTAGATGCAAAATGAAAAGTTTAGATGCAATAATGAAAGTTTAGATGGTCATTCATTATTTAGACTGATCATATGAGCAATTCTCCCATAACTGTATGCTTATTTGATCTTATCTTATGTCTGAAACCCAGGAAAATATTTTTATGATAAGTGAGAGAGGGAGAAAACATACAACATATAAGTTCTTTTAGATGAGTTCTGTAATATAATATCTCTGAAATTTGTGGCGGAGGGGAATATGCCACCGCCTTGCGGGGGAAATATTAAGCACTTAACTAAGGAAGACTGAGTGAGTACCAGGATCTTAGTCCCCCTACCCAATGCTTTAGGTCTCTGTATAACGGGTAGTTATATGTTGGTGCCTATCGTGTTACTATGTGGTGCAACAGATGAGGTGAGGTGGGTTCTAGGATTTACTTTATACACGGTGACCCCTGGAGTGTGTGTGCAGATAACCTATAAGAGCTTAGAAGATAAGAGCTTTTGACTGCAAAACCCACCCTTCCCAGATCTAACAGGACAGGTAAGACGCCCCCACTCCTTAGTATAAGTGAATCAACTTAACATACAGAGTTTCAGTTTAACTAACCAGAAATATTTATTTAGAAGAAAAGTATTGGACTTAAGAGACGAATTAAATGAGTCGTAACTTATTTCTATTCTTTTGTTCCTTCACAGGAAGAGTAAAAGTATTTCAAATTCAATCAGTTCAGAATGAAATCAAATGTAAACAACAATAAAGAAAATATCAACAATTTGTGACTGTTTCTGTTGAACCTTAAACAATCAGTGTGCCTCTTTTACTGCACTGGAAAGTTTCACATTCACAATCAGTTTGATTCAATCAGTTCAGCTCAAAATTTGAAAAGTTCACTTCAAAAATCCAGGAAAATGATACTCAGTCCATTCATGAGTCAGAACGTCCATAGTCTTGCAAAAGAAAGTATATGAATCACTTTGCAGGAAAATTCACAGGTCACAGTTCCACGTATGAGTGTTGTTTTTTAAAAGCACCGTTCACCGTCTTTATACTCGTTGAAAAGAAAAGATTACTTGCTTACCAGCGTTCAGTGGAAAATGAAGAAAATAATGTACATCACCACATCACTACATCATGGGCAGAGCGCTGAAAGGTGTCAGGATAGGCAGGGTAATGTTCCTTCACTCTATGATCCCCAACGATTGCCCCCGTGATCCTGAAGACTACCACTCGATCCTACGAGGCCGCAATCCTGTCTAACGGAGATCAGCCCGAGAACACGAACAATATACAGTCCCATCCAACAAATCAGCCAACTCTCCTAGCAAAAATAAGCAACGGCATCCACCACGTTTTGAGTTCGTTTGAACTAACAAAAACAAAAATCTGGATGCAAAACACACAAAAAAAAACACAGGAGTATTCAACCCCAACGCTGAATAACTTAATAAACTCTAACAGCCTGTCGCCCAGCTTCACGCACGAGCACGATGGAAAACTTGTTACGCCACTATTAATAACAGGCTTGTTAAGACAAACGGAGACCTAGAAGCAACGTCATGCGGCTCTAATGGATGTCATCAGTCTAAACGTAACTTTTTAATGTAATAAAAAGTTCGAAAATTGTCACATCCTTCATCAGCTCGCCGCTGCTCCTCTCACTCTTTTTCTCTCCCGCCCGTGTGATCGTCACACACCTGAGAAAGAAAAATGGCAGCGCCCGTGTCAAATTTCAAAATAAAAGCTTTTGCGAAATAGGACTTGTAGATCCCCTACAAATTGTTTACTCAAATGTAAATGAGTGAATAGATGCTTTACCCTCAAGAGATCAGCAGGACGTGTTGGAACTTCAGCACAGTGTTTGGCAATCATGGAATCATAGCCAAGCATGATCACCTCACGCAGACCTGGAATAGTCTTGACTTTGGGGTTTGAAGCCAGTTTCTGTTTGACAGAGGAAAAGATTAAATATTTTATAATAATTACCCTAGGTTCTGCTGGACTTGAAAAACTTTACATGAAAGATTTCCACACACAGCAGTGAGTTGGTTGGCATCTGAATTAGCGGTGACCATGTGCAAAGCAACCAGAAGGGCCTGAGTGTATTCAGGGACAGCAAGCTCATCAGCTTGAAACTTCTCCTTGATGAATCTCAGGGCTACTGCTGTACCCACAACAGGAAGTGCACCAAAATCCACTATCTGCCAGAATAAATATTTTAGAAGAGCACATAATCTGGACTTTATTTTCATGGTAATATTTGAAATACCTTCACCTGTGAAGAGGTTTGGTCTTCTACTAAGCCCAAATGACTTCAATACTCTCCAAGGTAGCCACACGCATGAGCTGCACAAGCTGGACAAACTTCAGTGGAGCATCTTCATGAACCATAACCACATTATTTGCAACCAGCTGCTGCAAGACCTCTAGAATCTTCAAGAGAATCAAAACAGTACCTGAACTTTCACAAGGCAATCACTTAGCAAAAAACAATGTGGAGCTGGTTGAGACTCTGGTGAAGAACTACAGCACAGTGGGCTGGGATGTCTGTAGAAAGTCCACATCCTTGATGCTCATCTTGATAGCACCCTGTGGTGCTCCAGTGCTTCTCAGTAGCCACACAGACAGGCAGCTTCCCAGCCACACAACCTGGGCTTTATCTGACAGGTAGTCTGTGACCAGGAGATCATCAAAGCAGGTGCTGATCTGTATTGAGACCTGCATGCTGACCTTCATGGGGAAGATGAACGAGGATGTGTGGCTGTTGCAGGTGGGGTAAGAGGACACATTCAGTTTGTTGGCTCTGTCC